GAGATTCACTTATGTACAGTTAGCACATTCTCAGGTGAACCTCATGTTCCATTAGGACTATTGCAGTGGAAACCTCCAAGGGAACTTTATACCACATAAATCCTACAGTTGGCAGTATATTTCTGATAGGGGTCAGGAGGGTGGACAGATTACCAATAACAAATGGACCAAACAGTAACCAGGCTAGGATAAGATTAAACAATCCCTGACTGAGTGAATAAGACTGGAATATACTTTGTTTTATGTTTGGAAGAAAGGAGATTGCAGTTAGGTTAATGAGATGACTCAAATGGTGTAAAAGTACTGAATTTTTCTGCATTCCTTAGCATTGATTCTAACTAGAATAGCATTCTCCCTGCATTTGTTTAAATAAACAATTGTAAACATACTCAGACTCCAGTGATTGATCATTACAAGTTACCACAAACCACCAAGGCGGTTTGTATGGAGGAGTTTAAACTAACTGAATAAAAAATTTGGAATTTAAAAAAAAAACTAGATGACCAGGGATCCAGGAGGTAGTGCTGAAGGAATCTCAGTTCTTGAGCTTGTCTAACAGGTTTGAGATTCTTGCTTCCTGCGTGGATGAGAGTGGACTCTGTATGGAGGATGAGCAAACTGACCATAGCACTGTGGTACAGGGAGCCATTCAAGAGAAAGGGAGTAAAGAGAAATGTAGTTGTAAGTAGAAAAAAACATAAGATTAGTAAGTGTATTCTGGGAAAGGCTAATCATGCTTGATAAAATACTGGATGTTCAGAATGTAACTATTATAAGGGGACCAGTGGATGTGGTTTAAATGGACTTTCAGAAAGCTTTTGATAGGGACCCATGTAAGAGATTAGCAGTTAAGTTAGAGCTCATGGTAGTGTGGGTAGCGTACTGATGTGGTTATTGTATTCTTTGGTAATCAGGAACCAAAGAGTGAGAATATTTGAGTCTTTTTCCAAAATGGCAGGCAGTGACAAGTGGGGTAGTGCAAAGATCAGTGTGTGGACCCCAGCTATTCACAATGTATATATTGGTGATTTAAATGAGAGAACTAGATGTAATATCTCCAAGTTTGCAGATGACACAAAGCTGGATGGGAGGGTAAGTTGTAAGAAGGATGCAGAGATGCTGCATGTGATTTGGACAAGTTGAGTGAGTGGGCGGATGCATGGCAAGTGAAGTAAATGTGGATAAATATGAGGTTATCCACTTTGGTGGCAAAAAGGGAAGATGGATTATTATCTGATTTGGAAAGGAGGTGGTGCAATCAGACTTGGGTGTTCTTGGACACCACTCGCTGAAACTAAGCGTGCAGGTGCAGCAGACTGTGAAGAAGGTAAATAGTACAATGGCCTTCATACTGAGAGTAATCGAGTACAGGAGAAGGGATGTCTTTCTGCAACTGTACAGGGCCTTGGTGAGACTTTATGTAGTCTAATATGTGCAGTTTTGGGCTCCTGATCTGAGGAGGGACATTCTGGCTGTGGAAGGAATGTAACAAAGGTTTATCAGACTGATTTTTGGGATGGCAGGACTAACATATGAAGAGAGGCTGGATCAGTTGGGACTGTATTCACTGGAGTTTATAAGAATGAGAGGGGATCTCATAGAAACCTATAAAATTCTAACAGGACTAGGCAGGGTAAATGCCAATGACTGGTCAGTTCCAAAACCAGGGGTCACAACCTAAGTATATGGGGTAGGCTGTTTGGATCAGAGATAAGGAGAAATTTCTTCACCCAGAGCATGACGAGCTTGTGGAATTCTCTGTCACAGAAAGCGGTTGAGGTCAAAACATTGAATGTTTTCAAGGAACAGTTAGATGTAATTCTTAGTGCTAATGGAATCAAAGGGGATGGATAGAAAGCAGGAACAGGGTGATTAGTTGTGATCATATTGCATGGCAAAGCAGGCTCAAGGGCCAAATGGCAAACTCCTGCTCCTATTTTCTATGTTTCTATTTTAGACAGAAATAAAGAGCAAGGAAGACTGTGGAAAAGGGCCAGGCAGGGAAGTGGACGATACATACAAGGATGCAGTCTAGATTGCACCGTCAGGGAGATAAGGGATGTGCTTTGAACAGTAAAGAACAATGTCTGATATGTGTAATCCAGGAAAAAGGAACTGAAGTCAGGGTCATCTATTTAGCACGTGATTTTAAGTTGTGGAATTGAGTGATGGTATGGACGTGACTAAACTTTTTATATAAGGAGTGAATGTTTGTTGCTTTTCAGAGTACTGAATTAGACTGTTGAAGGCTGGTTCTCCTTGTATATGCTTGAATGAGTGACCCTTAAAATTGCCCGTTGTTCCCAACCAGACTTTATGAATAACAGATATCAGACACCAAGTTTAATTAAACAAATTAATACTATTACTTTAGCAGAACAAAGTTCAACCCAATTTCTTTTGATCGTAACATAAGGAAAACAAACCCAGTCTGTCCAATCTCTCTTCATAACTGAAACTCTTTGGTCCAGGCAACATTCTGGTAAATCTCTTCTACACCCTCTCCAGTGCTATCACATCCCTCCTACAATGTGAATTCCAGAATTTGAATTCCAGAATTGCACACAATACTCTAGCTGTGGCCTAACCAACATTTTATACATCTTTGACACTAAAGGCAAGACCCAAAAAGCAAGCAAGCTGTGCAGCAAGAGCAGATCCTTTTACCAACTTTGAAGTTGTCCTAGATTCCAAAATCTACGCAAGGCATGTATTCAAAAAGAATTGGCTTTGCCTGTACAATAAATCTGGCTCCAAAGAGAAAACGGACTCTACAACAGGATGTGACCAAGCAGAAGATAGACACAGAGTATTGCAATAGCAGCCAAATGAGCACCAGAGACCTTTAAATATAATCCAGGATGCAAAGTTCATGACAAGAGCCAGAATTTTATCCTCATTCATGGGGTGTGGGCATTGCTGGCTAAACCAGCATTTATTACCCAGTAAATATTACAGTGAAGGAACAGCAATATTGTTCTAATTCAGGGTGATGTGTGATTTCAAAGGAAATTTACAAGTTGTGGCAATTTTGTGCATTTGCTGCCCTTATCTAGATGATTGAGGATATGGGTGTGGAAGTTGCTGTTGAAGGAGCCTTGGCAAGTTGTAGCAGTGCATCCTATAGATGGTACATACTTCTGCCCTGTGCATCAGTGGTGATGGATGAGTGGTGCATGAGGTGCCAGTCATGTCCGACCTGGATGGCATCAGGCTCCTTCAGTGTAGTGGGTGTAGCACCTATCAAGGCAAGTGGAGAGTATTCCATCATGCTACTGACTTGTATTTTACAGAAATCAGACAGGCAATGAGGAGACAGGAGCTGAGTAACTCACTGCAACATTCCTAGCCTCTGACCGGCTCTTGTAGCCACAATATTTATATAGCTGGACTAGTTCAGTCAACAACTTCCAACCAAACATGAGCAGGCTTTCCACGTTATTATTGGTGCAACTAACAACTGCAATATTAACTGCATACCATAGGTCTCTCATCCTAGTATTGGCACATTAACAATATAACTGTGGCAATTTGGCATGGAAACAAAATATGTTTTCTGATATTAACAAGCAGACTAGTCATGGCAGAACTACCACTATGTATGACAGTCAAAGCACCCAAGACGGAAAAGACTAAGAGTACTCAGTCAGCCCAGGACTTGTCTAATTGCTATAAGATATTGGCTGAATGAGCCACCTCTACTATCAAATCTGTTCTGCCATTGAAGGAGATCCTGAATATTCTCATTACTGTACTTTCAATTCCACTTTCCTATCTTCTCCCCATAGCCATTGATTCCTTAATTAAAAATGTGTTTTTAAAATTAGCCTTGAATATACTTAACGCTTTGCAGTAAAGACTTCCACAAATTCACTACCTTGGAGAGGGGAACTGCCTGCATGTGTTAAATGGGACCCGTTATCCTGAGATTATGTCCTCAGCTCCTAGACTCTCAAGGTGAAACAATCTGTCTACATTTATCCTATCAACAACCTCATGTTTCAGTAAAGGTCAGTTCCCATTCTTCTAAAACTTAGAATGAAGTAGGACCAACCTACTCAAATCTCTCCTCATTACAGGAGCCCTTCATACCTGGTGTCAACCTAGTGACTTTCCTCTGGACTACCTCTAAGGCCTAGCTCTTTATACTGAGCAGAACTTCTACTCCTATGCTGTTAGCAGCTACTGTAGGTATTTTATTATAAAAACCACACAACCCTGTTTTATTGTCTTTTAGTGAAAGAAATCTGCCACCTTTATCTGGACTATCTTATGTGACTCCAGACCCATAGCAATATGATTGACTTAATTGCCTCAAAACTGGTCTAGCAAGCACTGGTTCTGGGGCAGTTGGACATTGGCTATACCAGCCTGTGTTATAGGGTGAACCTCACATCCTATAAATAAACCACAGCTACTGAATCCTCCCTCAACTCCTACTGGGTGCTGAGCAAACAGAGGGCCCAATCCCTGTTCTTCAGTTACTAGAGTTACAGTTAGAGCCACAACTGACTCCAGTAAGCATATGACCTGGAATGTAGACAAGAGTAGAAAGAAACAGAGTCAAATTGGGGACCCCACACACACATCTAGCCGGGACCTTCTAGAGAAGGCAACTATCACAAATTTCCTCATGTAAAATGTTTTCTTCCAGACAGCATTAGTGATTAAAGACCAAAGTCTTTTAAAAAGAAAATCTACATTCCCTGGTTCAGCAAGTTCAGGGGCATGACCTTAAAGGTTAGGCCAGTCCAGGTGGTGATATTAGCAAATACTACACATTGCATGAAGGGTACTGGGAATTATGAACTTTCCCGGGGGGGGAAAATAAATTGAAAGCAAGATTAATCCCTGCTAGACCAGTCTAAGGGCAGGTAGTCGTGTGTTTACTCGTTATCTAACAGCAGGCACAAAGGGCTGAATGACAACCTGTTCTTGTGTGGGTGATGTTCTCATAACTGTGATTTCAGTAATAGTTCAAAAAAAAACAAAGCATTAGCTTGCCACACCAAAACATTGCAGTTTATTGAAATATTATACAAATCATTCATTACAGAATAAGCAGATTTAGAAGTATGTGGTGTTTGAAGTATTTCAGTGACAGAGTCAATGATCAATTGTTATGCATCGGTTGATCTATAATGTTCATCCTGGATTAGAGTTTCATTCTCCGCAATGGGGAATTCGGATCACACCAGCAACTAACAGGCCAAACAAAACCACAAAAGTAAGGATGGACAGAGATGTTGTCATTATATTCAGGTTTCTGGATGTCAAGCTGTAGTGTTCAGCTCGATGTACATCTCCCACAGCTTTACAATCTCTAGACTACAGAGAGAAAAAAAAAGTTTTAATGTTACAAGTTTCAGCTTGATCCCTGTGGAGATCTAATCACCTTCTCATACATACCCAAACAAAAAAAAACCAGACAGCAGCAGTTTGTGCACTACACAAGCTTCCTTAACAGCACTTTAAAGGTCAGTACCTCTATCACTGATGAGGGGGATGAAAAGTGCAGAGGGATACACAATTTAAGGCTAATTTGCATAATCTGATTTCTCCAATTTAGATTAAGGGGTGAGTGGCATAGTGGCTGTGGTTAGCACTGCTGCCTCAGTGCCAGTGACCTGGGTTCAATTTCAGCCTTGGGTGACTGGAGTTTACACCTCCTCCCCATGTCTGCATGGGCTTCTGCCAGGTGCTCCAGTTCCCTCCCATGCTCCAAAGATGTGCAGCCTAGGTGGGTTAGCCATGGTAATGTGGGACTATGGGCTAGGCCAAGGGTCTGGATGAGATGCTAGAGGTCAGTGCAAACTCAACGGGTTGAAAGGCATCTTTTGGCACTGTAGAGATTCTAATGATTCTATCAAGGTCCAAGATAGACAGAAAAAGACAGGGCAGATACATAAACTTCCATTGGTTTGGGATTCTAAAACTAGGGGGTGAAATCCAAACATTAGGGCCAGACCATTTAGATACCCTTCAACATAAGTGGTAGATATTTGGAACTCTTCTACAAGTGGTAGAAGGTGCTAGGTCACCTGTTAGTTTTAAATCTGGGATAGATATAAACCAAGACTTATGGGCAAGCATATAGAGTTAGGCACAGATCAGCCATATTTTATTGCATGGCAGAACAGGCTCCAGGGACTGAATGGCCTATGCCAGTTTACAGGGAAGTCAATGACTAACTGTTGAAAATTCTAATCTTGTACTGTAGGGTGGTGATGAGGCTACAGGCATTCTGAAGTGGCCAAATCTAAATGACAAGTGGAGGAAATGGGAACAGCACAATCCACAACACCTCAATTCTACATCAATCTCATGCCTCAATTTATTTAATGCAGTTGTTCTCCAACTGCAGTCTGAGGAGGGTGAAAGTGTCAAATACAAGAGGAGAGCAGAAGCACAGGTAATTAATGTAGGGTTGGTTGCTTTACATCCAGGATGGAGCAGACTAGAGAACCAGACATGCTATCTCACTTATCCACGAGTATCCATTTTTGCAATAGAATTTTAAAAAACACACATGCAAGCAAGCCTTTCAAATAAAAGTCTGAAATACTAGTTTCCTTCCTCCCAACCCCACAAAAACCTACTGATTTCAGCCTTTAGTACAATTAACTCAGACTCCACTACCTTTTGGGATTAGAGAACTCAAATATTCACAACCTTAAAATTTCCCTACATCCCCCAATTCTAAATAGCCAATCCTTAAGACTAGCTATTGTATTAGTTCAACAAGACAGCTCACCACCTGGTGGATTAACAGACCGTACCCTGGGAACAAGCACTATTTACAGTTTAAATAGAATCAGAATCCTTGCAGTGCAGAAAGAGGCCATTCAGCCTGAGTCACACCAAGCCTCTAAAGAGCATCCCATCCAGATCCACTACCCACAATCCCTGATTTTACTATGGCCAATCCACCAAACTGGCACTACCAGATGCCAATACAAGTCTAAAAAACAAACCCAAAAAAGTTACAAGCTAGAATGCACATCTGAAAGAGGGTAATAAAGCTGTTTTGTCACCAAAAAGGAATGACTTTATTTCTGGAGTTTGTGGGGAAAAGATCATGCAGATAGGGATTAAATCAGAGCTGTCAAACATCTACACCAGAACTCCAGACTCAGTTTTCCTTCTGGGCTCAGGTTACCCAACTTGAAGAGAGAGGACAGGGAAGACTGGGTCTGGGCCAAAGTTTTATTTCCTACTCCCTAAACTACCATTCGTTTAAAAACAAACGAAGTGCTGGACTCAGGCAGCGAGAAAGGGGGCCTAGTGGATTCCATCAAATGATGATCTTAAAAAAAGTCACAAACTCACCTTAACGGAAAAGACTAAAGCCAGAAACCCAAGGCAACAGAAGTTACAGAGAACAAAGTTGAAAAGAGACCAGAGGACGTGGTCGCTGACCGGCGAACCACTGGTTCCAATAGTCACCACGGTCGATGGCCCCCGGAAGGAGTCAAGCTCTCGGTCTACCATGGGTTGGTTCACTTTACCCTCCATAGCAAATTACAACCGAGTGATTAATACCGAACGAAGAACACCAAGCACTACTCCCTTCTGTGGATTGCACAGCAATAGACTGAGCACCTGTCTATTATCCTCAACCTGCAGCTGGGTGTTATAAACTATAATTGATCCTATAGGGTGCGTCTCCAGATAAAGTTGTTAACTGCACAAACTGCTGCCCTAATGTCTGCGAACCGATTCCCGAGTCTTGCGGGTGGAAGAAGTTCAGTTAGCCGAGTAAAACAAGATTGATCTAGCGCATTTAACGAGATCTCTTCAGTCTGATAGGAATGGCTCGGAATTAATTGTCTACATTAACCCCAGACTTGATTTATCGCAACTATGTCGACCAAGTTTGAGGTTTCCAGGCTTAGTTGGCTGGACGGCTGGTTTGCAGTGCAGAATGATGCCAACAGCATGGATTCAATTCCTGTGCGAGCTCAGCTTCTCAACCTGTACCCTTACCTGACCTGTGGTACTCCCCAGGTTAAATTGATCTCATATGGTTGTGACCACCAAGCCCAATTTCTTTCTTCAGGGTGAATCTTTCAGTTCCCAGTTTAGTGACATAAGCTCATGCCGTGCAGGAAATCTCCTGCACTAACGTGGATCCAGCTACTCAGGAACTTAATTTATTTTCCTGTAAACAGAGCCTGCAACTCATCCCATATACAAACAGCACCTTGAGCCTGCTCTGTCATACTGTGACCTAACTCCATAAGCTTTCTTCAGGAGTGGACAGGCTGGCATCAAATCAGCTGGTTGGACTTGTGATGTCAGCATAGTGCCAACTTAATGTATAACAATGTGTGCAGGGAACACAGCTACATGTGCCCATTGTCCTTGGAGCGTGGAAAGCGAAATGAAAGTCACCATAGACTGCTCCCTGATTGAGAAGGAATGGCTTAAAGGACATCACGCCTCAGGCAAGGATCAAGGTTGAGAACTCAGGGCCTTCTTGGTCACCTCAGACAGCTTGGGAATTGAAGCCACACTGTTGGATTCACAAATTAGCTGTTCAGCCAAGTAGGCTAACCAAGCTGAGGATACTGTGCAAGCTATGCAGGTTGTGGGTGGCAATGTAACCTTCACTCAGAAGACCATGGAAATGTTTGGAATGTCAATGGAAGTGGAGCTCCACAAATGTATTTTTCACTCCAGCTGTTTGCTGCACTTTGTGAAGAAGAGCATGCATAATTCTATGTTCATACATGCACCAGTGCGAAGTCTGTCTTAGGTCAAATTGTTTACCTGTATGTACCAGCTCAGTGAAGAGGTATACACTTTCTCAGTTGATCAGGAATCTGAAGTGCTGAGATGCTGATTGATGATACAGGTATTTCCCCTACAACACGATAGTTGTGCTCTTGTGTGATGTCACACTACAGAAAATCACCATAGAAAATCGTGTTATAGGGAAATCGCTATACTTGTACAGCAGAAAGTTCACGTTATCCAAACAGCGTCCACTATACATCAATCGCATTACAGCCAATTTGCGTTAATGAATACATGTTATAGTGGAACTACCTGTATGTGGCTGATGATACTGGATAACTTCACAAACTCAATGAAATTAGGAAGGTGAAGCAAACAATGAAAGGTGGAAGAACTTCATTCACAGTAAAGAATTAATGCTTTCAAAGGAAACAACAAACCTAAAAGCTCCTCTGTCAAACTACAGATACGTGTGAACTCACATTCCTTCATTCAAGAAAGGAACATTGACTTTGATGTAATGAAACTACAGCTGGTAACATGTCTCTGACCTAGACAATACATTTAGTATTTTCCAGAAATCACAAATGAAGAATCTGCTATGTATCTGTGAACTCCAAATCTCATCAATAAACCTATTGAAGCTAAACTTCCACTGTCTTGAGTCTGCCCCTTCAAACCTATTGCGAGAGCTGATTGACTTTACATCAGACAGATCGCTCAGAATCAAACAATAGCAAAATACTGCAAATACTGGAAACCTGAAATGAAAGTAAGATGGTGCAAATAGTCAGTAGGTCAGACAACATCTAAGGAGAGAAAGAGAATTAATGTTTCAGATCGATGGCCTTTCATCAGAGCCAAGTTCAGTCGACTGTCGTGGTAGTTAAGAGTTGCTCATAACTACCGCACCTGGCTGATATGAAGCTGAATGATGTTGACCATGATACACATGTGTACCTGTCAAAGATAGGCCCCTTGCTTAACAGAATTGTTGTCATATCTAAAAAAAGTTTTGGACTATACTCACTGGGCTTTAGAAGAATGAGGCGGGATCTCATTGAAACCTATAAAATTCTAACAGGAATAAACAGGTTAAATGCAAGTTAGGCTGTTTAGGACTGAGATGAGGAGAAATTTCTTCACCCAGAAAATGGTGAGCCTGCAGAATTCCCTGCCACAAAAAGTAGTTGAGGCCAAAACATTGAATGTTTTCAAGAAGGTGTTGGATGTAGTTCTTAGGGCTAAGGGGATTAAAGGGTATAGGGATTAAACAGGAAAAGGGTACTGAGTTGGCTGATCAGCCATGATCATATTGAATGGTGGAGCAGTCTCAAAGGGCTGAATGGCCTACTCCTGCTCCTAATGTCTATGTTTCCCTGGAATAACTAAATCAAATAATAATGAATATATTGTATATTTTTTATGTAGAATAATAACACTTTTTGCATTACAGGGGTCCGAGAAATTTTTATAACAGAGAAGGGGCCCTTAGAAGCAAAAGTTTGAGAACAGCTGATCCACTACATTATATGTAACATTCATTATTAAACAAAAATAAATCAAAGAACTGCAGATACTGGAAAACAGAAACAAAAGCAGAAATTGCTGAGGAAACTCAGTAGTCGTGTAGCATCAGTTGAGAAAAAGCAGAGTTAACGTTTTGAATTCAGTGACCCTACTTCAGCACTGGTTTTCTCTCCACAGATGCTGCCAGATCTGCTGAGTTTTCCCAGCAATTTAAATTTTTGTATTATCGTAAAACTGCTTATCCTATTTCATTTCTCCATCTCCTTAGTCATCTGGGGTTTCAAGTTTAGGTACTCTATACTCGATCCAACTCCTTTCATTTCTCTATTAATATATTGTAGTGGTGGTATGCTCCAGTTCATCCAAGGTGTATAAATTGCTGAGGGAACATGCACACAATCTGCTTTACTGCATAATGAATGCACCTTCTTTGGTTATCGAATCTTGGGTTGAACTGAAACCTTGAAAAGCCACAGCAACTCTGTTGACAGCCAATTAATCAACTACTTGCTGTAAAGTTGAAGGTGCATTCCACTGGCTGTTCACTTGTTCTGGTGACCCATCTCTGGCTAATGCTGTGCCATCCACCAATTGGCAAACCTCAGCTCATTGTTTCAGAAAACCGTCTTGTATAGGCTCAAGAAATTGATCCATTTCTGACTCAAATGCCTTAACTCTTCCCAGTAGATAGAAAATTTTGCTGACTCCTGCTCTTGCCATTCTTCACATTTGTAAAGTATGTCTGAGGAAAATTAGCAGCTAGCTGGCCAGAAGGCAGCCAGTGAAGAGGGATTGCCACACCCAATTGGATCATTAGGGAAGGGTATTCAGCGTCAGGAGGGTGAGTCTGTGTCATGGAAACTGGACAGAGCCATTTATTTAAAGGTTTTCATGTACAGATTCAGGGCAACTGCAAATGGAACCTGACTTGGAGGAGGAAATAGAAAGGCTACCATAAAATACTGTGAATTGTTGCAGCAGCACACGGTAAGAGTATGTTTTTTAATTTTGTTGACTATTGTACCAGCAGCCTCTCATTCAGGACTCTTGCCAGGGAGTAAAGAACATCTGAGCAGACCTGTCCCGTTACCCATTTGAACGATAAGTGTTTTAGGAAAAGGCACAAACCTCTTTAATCTTTAACTCTATTTGTGTCTGCACAAAGGATGGAACTCCACCTGTGTCCTTGGAGGTATGTCGTATCCTCAGCTGCAATGAAGAATGGAGGCAGAACAAGTGGAGGGGCCCATACCAAAAACAACCCCTTGGTTTGACCATGACTCCCTGTGAAGCCTCCTTCAGGCTATCCTCATGCCACATGATGAAAAGAAAAGGGGACCTCCTTGCCAGACCATAGCAGACTGGATCGAGGTCACTAGCTGTGGGATCATGCACATTACTTGGTACAGTGCCATAAAGACTGAATGACCTCTTGCTCTTGACCAGAGTGAGTATACAACCATTTGGCAGTTAGGTCTATATTGGACGGTGTGAGGGTTGGATGTGTGTCAATTGTTGAATTGTCTGGTGTCTGGGCCAAGTGACATGTCATTCCACACTTCACGGCAATGGGGGATGCTTGGGTAAGAGGGGTCCCGAAGTGGAAATTCAGTTAATTTTGTAAGGATTATTGAAAAGTGTTGGCCACAAAAAATGAACATGGTCAAAGATTTGTTCCAATTTCCCTTTCTCTTTGCAGTGAAATGGTACATCTTGTTCATAAGACGGCAAGGGTTGGAAGCAGCATGCCATACTTTACCTTTTTAACTCCTGTTGGAAAAGAAATGTTGAGTTTGTCAAGCAATCAATGATGTGGCACCACTGGCCTTGGAGAGGTCAGAGAACAGCCCACAGGATAGTGAGATTCAAAGAGCCCACATCTACCTTCTGCAAAGACTGAGCTGAAGGAAGTTAGAGGTAATGTGAGAAGGAGGCAGAGGGGGAATGTGAATACTTGTGACTGCTGTGTCTTGCAGAATTCAGGGACAAATTTGCTTCTTAATCTGGACGGGGAAATCTGTATTCTAGTTTTTTTGTTATTCTCAGTTTCCTAGGGATTTTCTGCTTTACAGAGATATTCTCTTGCTTTCATCCCTGAATTACATGTTAATAGTTGCAAAACTGTTATAAGTGTCTTGTCTTTCTGTATTGGAAATCCCTCCTGGGCAACCTTGCCTTCTGTGTTACTTTTCACCTCCGCAACATGATTACTTTAAAATGATTGCTCCTCTTTGCATCATTTTGGTGAGCTTTTCAGTGGGTGGGGTTGCTGCTTTTCTGCCAACTCAGATAACAGCCATCCAAAGCCTTGGTGACCATGGTCCGATTTTGCTTCCCAAGTTTAGCCTATCTTGCATTTCAAACCATCTGGTAAAGTGGTAAAGTCTACTAAAAAATCTGATGGCTTTTTGTTGCAGACTCTGATGTTATAGTCACAGATAAATTCATCTTTAAGTCTGCCATGTACCCAGTATAAGTAGCTCGCCTGGGTAGGTGTGTAAGGAACCATTCAATGGATTCATTTAGCCTTTGGGATTCCTGAAAGATTGTGCTTGCTTGTTCCGTTTTGAGCTAAAGAATGCGGCAAATGCTTTTAGGATAGCTCCAAATTCTTCAAAGATCACTTCCATCCTCTGTCATTCTCTGTTCTCAGCAATGGACCTCGCTCAATGTTCTAACCGAGTGCTTCTACTTTTTGACTGCAAACCTGATGCTGTTTGATGTTGTGGGAATTGTTTTTTCACAGCTTCCGACATTGGCCTCAAACTGGGTTTACAGGTGGCTGTGAAAGGGGCAGTGATCTCACAACTGGTGCTGACATCACAACCGATTCCCAGTCTGCCTCTCATCAAGGTAAGTCTTCTGACTCTTCCTTTGCAGGCGTCTTCCCATTTCTCCCTGAGGTTATTTGTCAATGGTACCAAATCATTGCCAGATTGGTGTCACCATTGGTGCTACCATACTTTATGATTTGGTTCCACTTTGAACAGTAATCAGATAGCACTTTGGCTAATTTGTGACCTGTTCTGGATTGGGGAGCTTTCCTTCTTCCTATAAGTGATGAGTGTGTTTCTTCAAAACTCCTTTATTTACATTATAGTACATTCTACATCTTGATGTAAGCAAATTTCTCTCATAAAGACTATTCTACCTTTCTTCTCTGACTCTAGAACATGACTGCTGATGTCACTGTTACATCATCGTACACATCACTAACTCAATGAGCAAATCTTTGGTCATTGCTCTGATGAAAATATTTTCCCATCAGTCTGGTCAGAGTTGTTATTACACAGCTCTGGAGCAGGTGGGACTTGAACCTGGACCTCCTGGCTCAGGGATAGGGACACTACCACCACTCCACCAGAGGCCTAGGGCCCTGATGAATACTTAGCTTACGTGCAACATCTCAGCCCGTAGATGTTGGTGTGTTCGCCGAGCTGGGAGGTTTGATAGCAGATGTTTCAGCCCCTCCACAGCACTGAGGATGTCACCTAGTAAGGGGATGAAATGTCTGCTAGCAAACCTCCCAGCTCGACGAATACACCAACATCTACAACCATCACCCAAGCTACAAATCTTTACTCAAACCCTGGACATCTCAGCCTTTGTATTCAGATGTCTGAGTAGGATCATGAGCCATTTGTTGAGTAGGAATCTCTAGTCTCCTGAAACTCAGCAATCCATTATTGGGCAGAACATCTCCGGTACCTGGCAGTGCCAAAGTATGTCGGAGTTAAGACCGATCCCACGGTGGCATACACACATCTGCATAATCTTCTGTCTAAAGTTACAAACTTAGCTGGACATTGATTAAATGGCCAAATGCTGGCAAATGGGACTAGATTAATTTAAGATATCTATTCAGCATGCCTGAGTTGAACCGAAGGGTCTATTTTTGTGCTGTACCTCTCTGTGACTCTATGTGGACAATACTCCTTGGCTGTGCTGATGGTGATTAGCTTGCACCCACGTGGTAATCAATGAGCCCTTGCCCTTTGAAGAATCCAGCAATACTTGGGAAGCCTCTAGCTCTTATGGTTCCACTGGGGTTACCTGTGCTGACTGTGGTGTTGCCATGGATCTATCTGAAGACTATATTTGTAGCATGCCATCCATGATTTGCAAACACTATTGGCAGAATAGTGTTATTTCTTTTTTTCTGGGTGCTTGTTGCTGTTGCTGTCTTTTCTGCAGGCCTGTGCATAGGGAGCCATTTTCTCCAGAGTCCATTTTACCTTTGGGGGAATGTAAGGTTGGCTAAGCTCACCTAAGCCTTCAAATCCTTTTGGACAGTTTCTATATCGCAGAGATATCTCTATCAAGCAAGATTAAGACTCAGTTAATAAATATAATCAAATCTTCTCAAGTATAATCAAACAGAACAATAAAATGACGTATCTTCATAACTAAGGACTATTTAATTGACTAACAAAAGGTATAAAAAGATTAAACTCACCAGTCACGTAGGCAGACTTTAAACTGGGTGGCCAATCCAGAATTCAGCTCACAAAGAGGAAACCTCTTTCTTCCCTGAGATAAAACACCACCAGAATTTGCACTGACATGTATTTGACTCACAGCAAGCAAGGAGTTGATGCTCCCTGAAAACTGGTTCACTGAGATTAATCAAAATCCGGGGCTGAGGAAGGAATATACTTTGACTGCCTGCAGGATATTTAAAATACTCAAAATAATAGTTTATTGAAGCCTTCTTTTTATACCCAGTTTGTTATTAACCCCACCCCTTTCCCAAACTAATTAAAAGTTGTTGTGGAAAAGTAATTTGTTGATAATGTGTTCATATTCAATTTGCTTGGATCTGTCCACATGCACAGATTGCCTTAAGCATAAAGACAATGAAGTGTCTTTGAATATTTGCCTTTTTAAAATAAACAGGCTTTTATTCATCAATGTGCATCCGGTTCAAGATTTAAGGGCAGTGTTACTGATAAAAACCTTATCTTGTTTGTTCCGTTCCCACAGACTATTCTAACAGCACTTTTAAAAACATAGACAGTAAATGTGATTAATCGAAATTCACAAAGGAAAGCTTTTATTAACTACTGATTATTAATAAATTATTCTTCATTTACAGCATAATTGAGGTATTTCTTCCAGTCAATCATTTATTGCTGGCTGGTTGCTGCTAATAATATCTGTAGTTTGTGTTCTGTAGTTGAACTAGTGTACTATAATGTGATAGAACACAAAGGCAGGCTCCTGTGGCACAGCAATTATGTCCCTAAGCAGTCCCAGGTCAAAATACCACCTGCTCCAGAGGTGAGCAATAACGTCGCTGAACAGGTTGAATAAAAAATATCCAGAGCAAGATGGTTTCTTTGCTTTATGGGTAGCCGAATACAGTATATGTGTGTTTGTAAAAATGGCTAATTTATCTAATTAAACGGCTAAAACCCAGGCTTGCTTACAGGCAGAGTAAGCTCCATGTGCCATGCGCACTGTCTTGGAGGCTCAATGTAAGGTTGGTGGCCTGTTATCACACCAAGTTTTTTTCATTAGAGCAGAGGAAGGAAGGCAGTGCACCTTATTTGTGGCAGCATGAATTAATCCCTCTGTAACATGAGAAACCCCCTGTGGAAAATCTGTGGTCAGCTTAATGAGCAAGGTCAGTGACAGACTGGGCTACCCATGGACAGCCACATGGCCTGGTGTTCAGAAAGATATAGGTGTAGCCACTTGTAAAGATTTTGAGAGTCACTCAGTGGGTGGTCCTGGGAAGAGGGAGGACTTTGTCATGACTAATGGACTCTAGTTGTCTAGTCCATCACCTTGATGTGGAGACAGATGTGTTCCTCATCTCTATCCCCGAATGGTAGTGAATGCTGTCTTCATCTTGCATTCAGGGTCATTGAGCAGAATGGAGGATGAGTAATGGAAATTCTGGGAGCAAAGAAGTTATCTTTCTAAATCTGCCAGCTGGCCAAAGCCTATCTTTTGGAGGTAGGGAAAATTTCAAACCACTGATCTCACATTTTCTGCTGGATAGATGTGCAGTATTTCTAGCTACCAGCAGATGGCAGTTTTCTCCCATGAACCAGCCTAAATAGCCATCTCAATGTAAATAGGATTAAGGCGCATGTCCTTTACATTCAGTTATTTCCTCTTTCTTACGCTCAGCTTTTACTTAGTTTCATTTCAGATTTCGGGGAGTCACATTTTATTATTACTATTATTGATATTATACGATTTAATACCCTGACAGTGATGAGGTGGCAGATGACTCTCTTCACCTATATCTTATTTTCCTTATTCTTAAATTATTCAAAATGCGCCATTTCATCGCGACATGTAAAAGCTTTTCATTGTATTTTGCTCTTGCTGTAAAATACATGTGACAATAAAATCAAAATCAAAATCAATTGCCCATTAAGAAAATTGAATCTCAAGCAAGAAAAAGCAGCTTACACTGTCTCAATATGAAGCTCACTGTCCCTTTTTGAGTCTCAATATCCCATGTTGAGTGACCCTCATACACCTGGCAAAATCTTACATGCTAGATGGAAGTTCATCCATGATGAAATAACTCCATGAAGGCCAGTATCCCTTCACCAAGTCACCCTTTATTTACATGTGCATAGTACATTTTATTTACATTTCAAAGATATATTTTATTCATAAAAGATATCTTTGTATGTATACATAGTCACAAATGCTGTTCAGGTTCTGTACAGTAGCATTTCATGGAAACAAACAAACATTGGATTTTGACTCTATCTGAACAAATCAAAGACCTCTTTTACACATTCAATACTGTATTTACAGATATTTGAGCCACTAGGAGGGTCCAATAACTCAGCAAACCCTCTTTTAACTTAAGCAGAAAGACCTCAGACAGTGGGCTTTCCACGCTGTGCCTTGGCAGCAGGTGCCCCAAGCTTCAGTGCATCCCTCATCATGTAGTCCTGGACCTTGGAATGTGCATAGTACAACCCAGCTAGCGCAGAGCCGGCTCCTACAGTGGAGCAGGCCAGGCAGCATCAGAGGAGCAGGAAAGCTGACGTTTCGGGACAGGACGCTTCTTCAGAAATGGAGGAGGGGAAGGGGGCTCTGAAATAAATAGAGAGGTTTGGGCTGGGGAAGGTAGTTGGGATGGTGATAGCGGATAGGTAGTGGTGGGGATTGGTCAGTGAGGTGGGAGGAGCAGATAGGTGGGAGGGAAGACAGACAGGTTAAGGAGGTGGGGTTAAGAGGGTGGGTTGGACTTTGGATGAGGCCGGGGGTGAGGAGAAGCAGTGTCACAACGATGCCATTAGGAAATGGAGGAACAGCACCTCATATTCCGCCTCGGAAGCCTACAACCCAATGGGAATCTTGTGAAATCATGCCACCCAAAGGTTGCAGGAACAGCAACTCATATTCCGCTTGGGAACCCTGCAGCCCAATGGTATCAATGTGGATTTCACAAGCTTCAAAATCTCCCCTCCCCCTACCGCATCCCAAAACCAGTCCAGCTCGTCCCTGCCTCCCTAACCTGTTCTTCCTCCCACCTATCCCCTCCTCCCACCTCAAGCCGCACCTCCATCTCCTACCGACTAACCTCATCCCACCCCCTTGACCTGTCCGTCCTCCCTGGACTGACCTATCCCCTCCCTAATTCCCCACCTACACTCACCTTTACTGGCCCCATCCCCGCCTCTTCGACCTGTTTGTTTCCTCTCCACCTATCCTCTCCTCTATCCATCTTCTATCCGCCTCCCACTCTCTCCCTATTTATTTCAGAACCCCCTTCCCCTCCCCCTTTTCTGATGAAGGGTCTAGGCCCGAAACGTCAGCCTCTCTGCTCCTATGATGCTGTATTCATCCAGCCCTGCACCTTGTTGTCTCGGATTCT